CAATTAATGACTGGAAGCCTCACCTAATATGAAGTGTAATGCTTTTTAAAATCATTTTCATAATTTTCATTTTAATAAAAATAATGCAAGAGTCACTTAGTATGGGGTGCCTGGGTGGTGTCTGACTCTTGATTTCAGCTCAGGTTATGATCTCAGGGTTGTGAGATCGACCCTGCGTTGGGTTCCATGCTCAGCGGGGCATCTGCTTGAGATTCTCTCCCTATCCCTTTCCCTCTGCCCCTACCCCCCAACCCCTGATTATGTGCACACTCTCTCTCTCTCAAATAAATAATAAATCTTAAAATAAAAAAATCACTTTAAGTATGGATAGTGTTTCTGAAAAGTTAATATATATCTTAATTCAGTTACCAATAAAATATATTGTTTAATTTAAATCTATGTCTTACTCCACCCATCCACTGCCTCAGTGCTTTTTTGATCTCGTATCTTTTCATTAACTCTCTATTGCCACCTTTGTGGTCCTCTAGTATCCCTCCTATCCCAGAGACTTTGCACATGCTGTTTTTGTCTGGAACTATCCAATAAGAAGCAGAGTTTGCTCTGTCTGTTTCCTTCAGGTGTTTGAGTAAATGTCACCTTAATCATAGCGGCTTTTCCTGATGACCATATAGAAAACAGCAATTCCCCATCCTACCTTCCAAAACTCCCTTTCTCTCTTGCTGGCATTATTTTTCTCCGTAATACTTAGCATCACATGGCATATTATGTATCTATGTGTGTGTCATCTTTGTTTAGAACTTTGGTTCATTCCTTGCTAAAGCCATAGCACTAGAGCAGTGTCTAGAAAGTAATATAATAGGTGATCAATAAATATTTCTTTAAATGAATAAATTTCACTAGACAGTTATGGATCATTATGGTCAAAGCATTGAATTATACTCTGAGAATGCTTCAAATAAAAATTAAAGGTACCTTACCTGATGAAACCTTAGACAGAACATAGGAAGTATAAATGAAATTATAAAATAGCATCTGAAAAACGAGAAGAAAATGATAAATTTGATGTGGAAATTGGAGAGACTCTTATGAAAGATGTAACATTTGAATGAAACCTTGACAAGGGATGATTTATACACATGAAGATGCAGATGAGGACCACCCATCAACAGGAAGACGTATGGGCAAAGGCAGAGAGACAAGGGAGTCTATAATGAACTTTGCGGATGAGTCAATAGTCTGACAAAGGCTAGAACACGGTGGTATCAGGAAAGAAGTATGCAGTGAGTGACAATAATGTAAATATGTGTTTATAAGGTCATGTTTGTATTTCATTTCCAGTTCAGTGATTCCCAAAATTTGGGAATATGAGAGCACTTTTTTAAAACATTAAACCATAAAATCCCTATGTGATATAACTGGCTTAAAAATCATATAAAATACATGGTATTAAAAGCTATTACAAATTTAGTACCATCTTTTGTTAAGCATATCATTTTAGAACCAAAAAATAATATAGGGGTATATATATATGTATGCATACATGAGTGATACACACATGGGCGTATATACATATATACTTCTTTTCACCATTATACAGGCAATGATTAATATTCATGTGAATTGTAGGCTCTCTTGCAGTAAATCCATGGTCCCATGGATCTGAAGCACTTGAGTCTGGAGCTACAGTCTAAGCAATGACAACCCATAAGATTTCTTTGAGTAGAAGAATTACATGATGAGGCCTATGTGTGGGAACCCTGGGGGCTAGAGATTGAAGACACCTTAGAAAACATCTCTGCACAGTCTGCTAAAGTTATAGAAAAAGAAATTGCAACCCACAGAGATAACAGACATTGGCCAAGATTACAGGTAAAGGACTATGGCTAGTGTTCAGGTTCCTGAAGTGATCTCATCAAGCCCTTCCGTAATGGGATAGATAAGACAGATAAGCACCCAAACATATCACTGATAATCAAAAATGAACATCAGCTCTTATCTGGTAGAATAAGATGGACTGTTACACACCTGAAATTAGATGTACACTGTTCTCTTTGCTGTGGTATGGGGATTGCGGTATTTTCAAAATTCTCTATCTAATAGCATGTGGATCGTACTCTAGTTTTTCTCTAAGTCTGTATTTCAGAAACATATTCATCTTTAAGAATGTATCTCTATGCCTCTTTTAAAAACAACAACAACAACAACAACAAAATGTTTGCTCAAGGTCATCTGGAATTTTGGCAAGGGAGTTTACAGGTATACATGGTTTTACACATAACATTTTGAAAATTTAAACATGAACTACACACTTTAATAAATAGAATGATATAGTATATATGAAAAGTTCAATGTTTAAACACTAAAGAATAAAGTTATTTATGCTAATGATGATTCCTGCCTCCACCTAATTTGTAAAAACAGGTTTACATATATTTGAGTTCCTCTTGAA